CACTGAGTCATAATATCTCTCTCATCTCTTTAGCTGTGTTTCTCAGTCTTTCATGATCTTGAAACTTTTGGAGAATGAGGTCAAGTATTTTTTAGTACATGCCTCAATTTGACTTTGTGTCATATTTTTCTCAAGATTACAGTGGAGCTCTGGGTTTGGGGAAAGAATATCACAGAAATCAAGTGCACTCATCACATCACACCAGGGTACATGGGGTCAACATAACTTATCTTGGAGATGTTATCCTTGATCACTCGATGAAGGTAGTATCTGCCACATTTTTCCATGGGAAAATTAACTTTTCCCACATTTCCATGCTCTCTGGGGTATAAAGACTAGCTTCATGGGAAGGGAAAGAGGAGTTAAGCTTCACTTCCTCGTAGGTGGATGGGCAATATATATTATTTGGAATTTTTCTGTAAGGAAGATTCTTCCCTTCTCATTTATCTTTCTATTCATTTTTTATTTTTTTATCTTAATTTTATTTTTATTTTTTAAATATGAAATTGATTGTCAGATTGGTTTCCATACAACACCTTGTGCTCATTTGCATCAGTGTGAATTCATTAACATTTATTTTGTTCATTAGGTTATAGCTTAATATAATCATTCTATTGCTCAAAGTGTTTCAGTTTTGATCACTGGGAACTCTTTCTGGTTAGCTCCTGTGTCCTTTGACATGCCCCAGTAACTTTTTTTTTTTTTGCCACTTTTTCACACTCTGGCACTAGAAGATACTTCAGTCTTATGTTGTATTTTTCCTGCCATATCTCTTAGGGCCTTGGGTTTTGTTTTTATTGGAGAATGGTATTTAGTAACTAAAATCTGGGCATGAGGTATGCTCAGTGCTACTATGGTGTTAAAACTTTTCAGTAGGTAGAGCTAATAAATATTAAGTATGTATACCTATGTATGCACATATATCCACGTTTATTTTTTTTTTATTTTTTTAACGTTTATTTTTGAGACAGAGAGAGACAGAGCATGAACAGGGGAGGGGCAGAGAGAGAGGGAGACACAGAATCTGAAACAGGCTCCAGGCTCTGAGCGGTCAGAACAGAGCCCAACGCAGGGCTCGAACTCACGGACTGTGAGATCATGACCTGAGCCGAAGTCGGATGCTTAACCGACGGAGCCACCCAAGCACCCCACCACGTTTATTTTTATACCTATCTGCAGGTATATTAAAGTGAAAATGAGTTTATGTTGATAGATCTGTCTCTAACCTAGCACTATAAGGTTAATTGTAGCTAATTCCCTTTGCTCATTTGTAACTTCTTTCACTGACAATGAAAACGCTAGCTTCCATTGTCAACTATTTATTTATTCATGTGTTCCACCCTAATATGCATGTGAAGTAGTTACATAATTACTAACCTGTACTCTTGTGGGGGGAGAACTGTCAAATAGTATACAATGTCTATATATAGTTATTTTCTCTTTAACATTATTCATTTTAGTGCTTGTCCTGTCAAAAGACTGTTCCCCAAAGTTACTGAGGCTAGATCCCTTTTCCCCATGGAAAAAGAGGTTATGTCTTACATTTGTAATTTGGTTAGATTCATATGTCACCGTCTGTACTCCATCTTGGGATATTTCAATATCCTATTTATTTTCTTATTTTAAATTTGCATGCTGTATAGCTTACTCTGTGTTGTAGAGTCCTATAGGTTTTGATGAACACACAATCATTTATCCAGAATTGCAGTACCATGCAGAACAGTTCTAGCACTCCCCAAATTTCCTCACACTATCACTTTATTGTCAACTCTCCCATATCTATAAACCTTGGCAACCACTGATCTGTATCCTGTTTCTATATTTTGCTTTTTCTAGTATTTCATACACATGGATCATACAATATTCAGTCATTTGGGTCTGTCTTCTTTCACCTAACAAAATACATTTAACATTCATATTGCATAAATCAACATTTCTTTAAAAATTTCTTTCTTTTTTATAGTTCAGTAGTATTTCATTGCACAGACATACTATAATTTGTTCATCCATTCACCAACGGAAGAACATTTTGGTTATTTTGATGTCTTAGCAATTACAGATAAAGTTGCTCTAAATATTTACATATAGAGTTTTGTGTAAAATAAAATTTCCATTCGCTTGGGTAAATAAATATCTAGGAATGGGGTTACTGAATCATATGGTTAAGTGTATATTTGACTTTACAAAAATCTGGCACACAATGTTCCAAAGTGTTGGCACCATTTTGAACTCCTATCAGCAATGAATGAGAATCCCTGCAGTTCTTGCATGGTCACCAGCGTTTAGGATTGTCAGATTTAAGGGGCGCCTGGGTGGCGCAGTCGGTTAAGCGTCCGACTTCAGCCAGGTCACCATCTTGCGGTCCGTGAGTTCGAGCCCCGCGTCAGGCTCTGGGCTGATGGCTCAGAGCCTGGAGCCTGTTTCAGATTCTGTGTCTCCCTCTCTCTCTGCCCCTCCCCCGTTCATGCTCTGTCTCTCTCTGTCCCAAAAATAAATAAACGTTGAAAAAAAAAATTTTAGAATTGTCAGATTTAAAAAATTTTTTATCCATTATAATAGGTGTCTAGTAGTATCTAATTGTGGTTTAAATTTGCATCTCCCTAATGACTAATAATGTTGAACATCTTCCCATACATCTTTTTGGCAAATTCATCTTTACCCATTTTTAAACTGAGTTGTTGGTTGTCTTTTTGGTAAGTTTTAAAAAGGGTTCCTTATAATTTGTGAATACAAATCCTTCATCAGACATGTGATTTATAGGTCTGAAGTTTATATTTTCTTTCTTTTAACAGTATATTTCATAGAGCCATTTAAAAAAACAATTATTTTACTCTTTGCTTTTTAGTCACTCATTGTAATGAAAAGGGCTGTGATCAGGTAATTCCTTCAGTTACAACAGAGCATTTATACTGAAGCAAATTTAAATCAAACAAATTCCAATGTGCATTATAACTTCAAGGTTTAGACCTTGTATATTTTCTTATCTATAATCTCTCATGGATCAGATGAGACTGGCTAAATTTTCATTCTTGGTCAGAAGTGTAGAATTTGACTTTTTTTTCTCATTAAAAACTTAAAGTTATAGGCTTCATTGGTGTGCTCTGAGATAAACCTACAAAATTCATTAGGTAGCAGAATTATGGCATTATGTCCACATTTCTCTGGAAAAGAGTTGTCCAACATGGTAGCTATTAGCCACATGGGTCTGTTGATTACTTGAAATGTGACTAGTGTGACTGAGGAAATAACTTTTAATTTTGGTTAATTTAAATTTAAAAATGGATACTCAATTTAGTTATTGGAATCCTTTAAGTATGTGTGTGACAACTGGGCTTTGTGGATCTACTTTTTCAACTGTAAATTATATGAGATATAAATACAGATCAAGTATGCCCAATAAAATGTAGTATCCCAACTGATATGTACTATAAGTACACAAAGGATTTCAAAGACTTAGTATGGAAAAAAAAAGGATGTAAAAGGTCACAATATTTTTTTACATCAATCACATGTTGAAGGTTATATTTTGAATATAGAGGGTTAATATAATATATTATTAAAATCCATTTTACTTGCTTCTCTTACTTTTCAAAAATGTGGCCACAAGAAAAATTTAAATTACATCTTTGCCTCACATTATATTTTTATTAGATGACACTGCTTTAGAATCACATATTGTATATTAAATTATATTTTGTGTCAAAAAGCATTCAGTGCTCTGAAATGGCATGCTAATAACCTACCCACAATTATTCCAGCCCTCACAGTATAATCAGTCCCACCTCATCCTCCTGCTTTTGTAGGGAAAGATCAGCCTCACTAAGTTCCAAATCACATGTGATAGATGTTAGATGCTCAGACAGGGGCTCCAGCAAGGAAATGGCCAGGAGAATGGAGAGTAAGGTTTAGGATGAGTATCACAGGTCTGACAGTATCAGGTGTAGTTAAGGAACAGAATCTCCTGATGGCCTAACCATGCCATAAGTTTTGGGAACACTTCTGATTATGAATGGGTCTAGTTCATGGCTTTTCTTTCTTTTTTTTTCCCCATTTTTTTAAAGTTTATTTATTTTGAAAGAGAGAGAGAGAGAAAACAAGTGTGTGCAAGCAGGAGTAGGGGCAGAGAGCTAGGAGAGAAAGAATCCCAGGCAGGCTCTGTGCCATCAAAAGAGAGACCCACATGGGGCTGGATCCCACAAACTGAGATATCATGACTTGAGCCAAAATCAAGAGTCTGACTCTCAACCAGTTGAGCCACACAGGTGCCCCATGGCTCATTTTTTTGTGAGGAAAAGGTAGTGGGCTGCCTCTTTTCCTTCCCCTTGAGTTAGTACTTTCAGATTAGTACCTAACTCAAAAACAGCATAGTCTCCCAGCCTTTCATTCCCCTCTTTACTTTTCAGCAATGCAAAATTAATAGTAAGAGTTCCCTTTACCAAGCAAACACTAGTTTTATTCTCCCTTTTTATGTAGCTTATTAAAGAAATTGTATACACACATACACACACACAAGTGATTTAGTGGTGTAGGTATTATGTTGCCAAAACTAAAACCATTTTTTGAAAAGATAACTAATATAGAAAAAAAATTGACCTGACCTTGAAATGATACTACATATCATAATTTTAAAAAGACAATTCAAGAAATTTTAATACTTTAGCATAAAATTCTTCAAGTCTAATATTTTAAGAAATTACAGAAAACTAAAGAATAGTATAGAAATATTGGGGATATTAAGTATAATATTTATTAAAAATAAAACTAAACCTCAAAGGCATATTATTCTACCATGGTAGACAATTATATTAAAATTAACTTTGATACAATGTTAAATCTAAATTTATAGAATATCTCTACATATAAGATAAACTACAACTATCTTATACTTTGGATGGGTTTTAACTTATAATAATTCTGAAATAATCCTAGGTTACCTATAACTTCTAACCAGACATATTTCTGTCACAATCAAGCCAGCATCAAATCAAACATATACTTACCATATGGAGAACATACCATGGGAAGCACATAAACAGTTGTTAAGCTACTCAACTGTATTATAAAATTCTTGAATTATTACATTCTAAGCCTGTTGGGAAACAAAGAAAGAAAAAAAGCATGTTAGTTAAATGTGCTGGTTGTACTATACATGTAGTTAAATAACCAAAAGAACACTAAAAAAAAAAAAATCACATACCTCACACACATAGATCTTTCTCTATATATTATTGTGCCCTTTGCTTACATAAATTTATTATTTCATTTAAGTTTTAGAAAAATGCTATTGAATTGTGCAAGTCATTTGAATATACAATAAGAGAAATATTATTAAAAAGAATGAATGGTACGCTTGAAACTCTAAGGAAATAACATATCTTGTTAACCAAATATATTTCATGGTCTCTATTTTTTATGTTTTCCACCTACAGAATAAATGGTATTCATAGCACAGAAAATCAAAAACAAAAAAAAATAAGACAAAAGGTTACTGAATCATCTGGTTGTCTATAATTATCTGGATGCTTAACAAACTAAACACCAAAATAATGAGATGATCTGTCCAAATGTCTTAAATCTTCGTGTTGATGTTTGCCAGCTAGTATGGTCTGAAATTTTGTATCCGTCTGACCCCCAAATTCATATGCTGAGATCCTAATGCCCAAGATGATGGTATTGGGAGGTAAACAGGATTAGCGCCTTTATAAAGAGGACCCAGACAGTGCCCGAGTCCTCTTCATCATGTGAAGACACAGTGAAAATACGGACGTCTGTGAACTAGGAAGCCCTTACCAAACACTCAACTGCCAGCATCACAGTCCTGGACTTCCCAGTCTCTGGAACTGTGCGGAATAAATTTCTGTTGTTTATCAGCCACCCAGTCTATGGTCCTCTGTTACAACAGCTCAAATGAACAAAGATGCTTGCCGACAAACCTGATGGGCTATAAATACAGGCAAATGTTTTCAAACCTGATTGAATTATTTATTCTATAATGAATAAAGATTTTATTTATTTATTTATTTAAAATTTCTTTTAACATTTATTTATTTCTGAGACAGAGAGCATGAACAGGGGAGGGGCAGAGAGAGAGGGAGACACAGAATCTGAAATGGGCTCCAGGCTCCGAGCTGTCAGCACAGAGCCCAACGCGGGGCTTGAACTCATGGACCGTGAGATCATGACCTGAGCTGAAGTCGGACACTCAACCGACTGAGCCACCCAGGCGCCCCATAAAGATTCTATTTAATACAAAGTGCGGAACTGACCCATGACATGACCCCAGCTGAGAACAAATATAGTTGAACTATGGAATAATTTAAAGTAAAATAAAAACCGAATTTAGTTTTCTCTTTAAGACAGCGCCTCCTCAAATTGGGTTATATGAATGTATTCCCTGTCAAAAATGTCTTTTTGCTCTAGAACATACTCAGTAAACCTCTCATGCTCAGAAGATACTAAGAGTGGTGGTTGGGAATTCTGTACTCAGTACGTATACCCACATGTACACACACACACATGCACACACATACATCAGCCCCATTGTATGTTCCTCAAACTCCTAACCCATTTTTTCCCCAAGGTCAGTAGAGTTTAAGGCAAAATTCAGCCATATATCTTTCTAGATTATATATAACCTTGGCTTATACTTAAAAAAAATACTCTTTTCTCCTAATTTAGTATTCCACCCCCCTTGCTTATTTACACTTGGATTAAAACACATTAAAGATAATCAAAATATGGAGTCCAGATCTGGCGTTTGTCTTGTCTTTACAATCTTAACTAATTATTCTTTCTAAAAGACATAAAACATAGTAGATGAATAGCTTGCCAATATTTTGCAGCAGCTGTTGAAGGTTTTTTAGGTGTGTTTGATTGACATTTAACCATCACAGCAATATTTTAAAGTGGGTTTTATTATCCTCATTTTACAGGGTTTTGATATCTCAAACAAATCATCTATATAAGAAGCTGGAAAGTATAGCTGGGGTCAAATCTAGACCTGAGTTAAAAATGTGTACTCAAAAAAGTCGTCACTTGCACATGGTTTCCAGGACACTGTTTAAAAATTATTTTTAACGTTTTATTTTATTTTTTGAGAGACAGAGACAGACAGAGCATGAGCAAGGTAGGGGCAGAGAGAGAGGGAGGCATAGAATCCAAAGCAGGCTCCAGGCTCTGAGCTGTCAACACAGAGCCCTATGTGGAGCTCAAACACACCGATATGAGATCATGACCTAAGTTGAAATCGGACACTCAACTGACTGAGCCACCCAGATGCCCCTCCTGGACACTGTTTAAAAGATAATTATGTTGGGGTGCCTGGGTGGCTCAGTTGGTTAAGCATGACTTCAGCTCAGGTCATGATCTTGCAGTTCATGAGTTCTAGCCCCGCGTCTGGCTCTGTGCTGACAGCTCAGAGCCTCGAGCCCTCTTCAGATTCTGTGACTCCCACTCTCTCTGCCCCTCTCCAGCCTGTGCTCTCTCTCTCTCTCTCTCTGTCTCTCTGTCTCTCTGTCTCTCTCGCTTTCCAAAAGAATAAAACATTAAAAAAAGAAAAAGATAATTCTGCCTCGACATGTACTTTCAATAATATTTGACTCTCAATTTGAAAAAAAAGTAATGAAATGTTTTGTAAAATCAAATTTCTATGTTGAAACCATATATAACTTGGGCTTAGAACTGCTAAGCGAGCAAAATGACAAACACAATGATTACATACAACACGTGTAATGTGTTGCTTATAAATCTGGACATAAAAGATCAACATATTTAATAAATTAAGAAAAATAGAGAAGGTTCATTCATACCTATCTCAACTGGTTCCAGACTGTTATGATACTAGAGCATTTGTGCAATTTTTTTTTATGATTTTTGTTTTAACATCAAATGTGATTCTTGCTTCGTTTTTACCATCCAAATCTTACTTGATATTTGCAAAATGATTTTTGCAGGTAAGTCAGAAAAATCAAACATTTAGACTCCTATTTAGAATGAGAGCAAATAATGAGAGCCAGCAAGTGGCCTGGGTTCCTTTATCTATTTGGCAACTACGATTTGTGTGTGTGTGTGTGTGTGTGTGTGTGTGTGTAGGCATGTGTGTATTTCCTAAATCATGGCTATGATTTACATAGCTGAATAAATAACACTTGTTATGGAGTTATTATTTTTGTTGATAAAGTTTTATCTAAAGAAGTTGTTGTCTTTATACTCTTTTTTTGCATTACATGTAAGGAAATAATTATTCTCTTCCATTCTCTACATTTCTGTCTAAGCCAGTCAAATGATGATATGGCATTTTCTTCTTTTGCTTTCCTATGTACTTGTCTTTCTTCCTAGGGCAGTCAAGGCATCTGCCTGATGTGGGGTGGAGGGAGGATGGGACCCTCACTTTCTGTCATTTAAAAGATTGTTTTGACATATGGCTTAAAGCCAGGCAGTCTTGAGAAAGAAAAGATTTCCAAATGCCTTTAGTTCTCTTGTATGTATAAAGACTAGACTTTGTGGATTAGTCTACTATTGGAGGTCTTGCTGAGATCCAGAGGTTTGGTAACTTAAGCATGAAACAAAATGATTCACTTATTTTTACTTTTCATCTTGATGTTTGTCAGCAAGCATAAATGACTATGTTTGCATATAATTATATGTAAAGGTGTTTGAAATCACAGTGAAAAAGGCTTCGTGGTGCACATGCGGCAAAGGCACAAGACGTGGAGAGAAAACAGAGCATCGTGAATGGGGAAAGTGCCTGCCAAGGCTTGTGTTTTCTCCTCCCGGCTTCTTGAGGCCAAACCTCTCGGCGGAGTAGCTTTAGAAACTCCTAGTTGAAGGAACACTCAGCGTTTTGCTTATGCTTTTAGGAAGAGATTGCTGTTCTTAGTAATCCCATGCCAACATGTGGTGACCCGGTAGCGTCACGAGAGTCCTAAGGCTGGAAAAGGCCCAGTTGACAACCCTAAAGTCTCCCTAGGTTATTTGTGGCACGGATAATGTGTTGAGAACAAAATGGGCTTGCTGGGAGCAAAATGACTCAGCCACAGAGGTTTTTGTGGTCTTCTGCTTTAACCAAGCGTCAGTCTGAAGAGAGAAGTAGGAATGTATGTAACAGCAAAGACTGGTGGACCCGAACGCCAAGATCTGGCGCAGACTGAATTAACGGCCGTTTGGCACACGATGCTGAGAACTAGCTGACAGTGAGAGATGTCAGCAGCAGAGTGGTCCACAGCAATGGGTCTGAATTATCATCTTGAGCAGAGGCAATCAGGGAGGGGAAGCTTCATGAAGGAGGTTACATCTGAGCAATGGTAAGGACTCGGCCCCATCTTTAGGACTGAGCATTGTAAGGAGAGGGGATACGAGGTACAAAGGGCCAGGAAAGAAACAAGCACAGCATGTGCAAAGAGAGAAGAAAAACATCCCAGGGTGCCTGTGGTGTAGTAATCCAGGGCACAGTAGTGTCGGGAGTGGGGGTTGGTGGGGGAGTAAGGGTTGAGAGGCAGCAGCCAGGCGATGTTGGGTCTCACTGACCATTGTAAGGAGTCCAGTCTTTATTCATGGTACAGTGGAGATAGGAAGGTTTTGACCAAGAGACTAGCATGATCTGATTAAAATTTTCAAACATTATTTCAGATGTTCTGTAAAAAATTTAGTAGAGAGGTGAGCCCAGAAGCAGCAGCCACTCTAAAGGTAACTGTAGCAGTTGAGTTGAGAGATGATGGTGGTTAGAAATTTAATGGTAACGATAATGCAGAGAAGTGTTTGGATTCGGGATATATTTGAAGTAAGTATAAATCCTAACCATTAATTTCACCATTTCACAAACAGATGCATTTTTTAAGTCATCACTATAGGGTAAGCCATTTTTGTTATTGTTGTTTTGCAAAGGATCAACTTGAAAAATAGAAGTTCCGTAGATATTTATGAAAGATACTTCAGTTAATTTGGGTAAAATTTACCAAAAGGCAAAAATATGGAGACATTTGTTTTATATAATGAAAAAATATATTGTTGAACCAATTGACTAAAGATAGTACAAATTATTAAGAAAATCACTATATTGTTCTTATTAATGAAAGAATGGGAAATAGACAA